CCCTGCCTACACTGTGAGTTCCCCAGCAAGACAGACTGCCTAAGCAAGTCTGCTTTGCTTTCTCCTCAGAAGCTATAAACAGCGTAATTGCCAACAGTTATAGTGTCCACACATCCCTTTCTACACAAGCATATTTATTCTTATGGTGATAGAATTACAGAGCAAACATATTAAAAATAATAAAAGAACCTACACACATTCTAATAACTTAGGCGGGATCTCCCCTATTCCCCCAGCTCCAGCAAGGGCTATCGCAGGTGATCAGTCCTTCAAATCCCACCTAGGGGCTTTTCCATGGTTACAAGTTCAAAACAGGTGTTAGCTTAGAACAAGTACACAGCCTGCACCAATCAACCTGTTTCTTTGTACATCTTGTGCCTTTGATCTTGCCCTCATGTAATAGGTGATTGGAAGACAGTGGCTCTCTCCTCAGGGTATATCTTCAAAAGGCTGGGATTTTGCATATCTGGGTGGTGGTACATTTGCATTTACTCCCCCCTAGAGATTTCTTGGGAAACCCACTTAATTTTGTTTGTCCCAAAAGTTCATTCATGTCTGGTACATGGTTTAAAATAGTCCTTTGAAGCTCATAACACTTCCCAGGGTTTAAATTGGTCATTGGGTACATCCCTCCCCCCAACCCACCCACCCAGACATTACATAAACTTTGCATTTTTAATATAATGAAATCCAAAGATATATAACCTTAACACAATAAGGGTTTTCAAGTTTATTGCAGGAAATTGCCGTATCTGTCTCAGTAACTTACTGGCCAATGGAGAGCTCAAAAAGGAAGTGACATCAAGGATAGGAAAGGCATTCACAGCATGTACTAAACTTAACAATGTAGGGAAATCAAATATATATATATATATATATATAGCATCAAAACAAAACTGAGAATTTTCAGTTCAAACATAATCTCATTGATAACATACAGCTGTGAGAGTTGGAGTTCTACTAAAACTAGACACCTTCAAAAATAAGTGCCTAAGAAAGATTCTGGCCATTGGTTGAAAAGATTTCATTACAAAGAGATCTGAGAAATCACAAACCAGCAGCTTGTTTCCACCACAATCAGCTGGACATATTTGGGGCATGTACTCCAGATGCCAGCACACAGATTCCCATATGAAACTGGCAAGCGGAAACCAAGTGGTGTGAGGAAATGAGTACCCCCAAGAGAAACCATGAAGAAGAACTCTTAGGGAGGGCAGAACAGTTAATCTCAACACTAGAGAGCATATGGAAGCAGTGGCACATTACATAGAAGAGTGGAAGAGACTAGTTTCCATCAGGGGGGCCAACATCGGTGCAGGAGGGATGGAGTGGACTCTAATGAATTACCGAGAAGAGCCACAAAAATGATTTGAGGGCTGGAGAAAATCCCTTATGGTGTGAGACTTAGAGCTCAATTTATTTAGCTTATTAGAAAGAAGATTGAGAGGTGACTTGATTAGTGTAGAAGTACATTCATGGGAGAAAATACTGGGTACTAAAGTGCCCTTTAGTTTAGCAGAGAAAGGCATAGCAAGAACCAGTGACTGGAAGCTGAAAGCCAGACACATTCAAATTGGAAATGTGACACACATTTTTAACTATGCAGATGATTAAGCACTGGAAAAAATTACCAAGGGAAGTGGTGGATTCTCCATCTGTTGATATCTGCTAATTAAGACAAGATGCCTTTCTGGAAATTATGCTTTAACCAAACACAACTAAGGCTTTAGTCAAACACAAGTAATTAGGCTCAGTAGTTGGTAATTGGATGCAACTTAATGGCCTGTGATATACAGGAGGTCAGACTGGATGATATAATGGTCCTTTCTGGCCCTAAACTGTATGAATCTATGAATGAATAAAAGCAAGTGAACGCCGATTCTTATTTATGGCATATTGGCATTTACGTGGTTCTTTTACAATATATATTACAAAAGGGAATGTGTTCGTTTGTAAAGTGTTTGGTGTCTGAACAGAGCGATTAAAAAAAGGGTCTCTCTCACATCCATAGCATTCTGAAATATCCAGAGAAAGTGTATGCTATCAGACAAATGATTCACTGTGGGAAGATACCTGCAGAACAGTATGATGTGAGATGTGCATATATGTATATAAAATAATCATACACATCACAGGTAGGATATATAATATAAATAGCTTGCCTGTGCTGTGCATTGAAATGTGTGTTTCAGGTCAGTGGTTCCTTTTATTACTTTCTAATTATCAAAAGGAAACATTTTGATTGACCCAAACCAAATTATTTTTTGGACTTTTGGTTCATGAACATTTTTGAGATTTTTGATTTTTCATTTCAATTCGAGATGGGAAAAAATTCTGAAATCTCAAAAATTTTCACATGACAGGAAAACCTTTTCCTGCCCATCTCTACTATTTAATTAACAGTGACTGACACTTTTTGTAAATTGTCTCAGCAGAGACTCAAGAATGAATGGGCTTGGCTCTTGAACTGTTATCTTGCTTCTACAGGTGGCCTCACTCAAGCAGAGTTTAGAAATATTGGTAGGACGGTTTGGAGAAGCTTGTATTTTTGTCACCCATGCTATGTAGTTATTTTGTGGATTCATAAATTAGGCCAGAGGATACCATTATGATCATCTAATCTTTACTGTTGCATAACACAGGACGCAGAATTTCACCTGATAACTTGTGGTTGAACAAAAAGATTTATTTTAGAAAGATCTTCAGTTTTGATATAAAGACTTCAATTTGTTCCAATAGTTAATTTACCTTCATTATAAAATTTTTATCTTATTTCTAATGTGAATTTTTCTGATGTCAACTGTTAAACCCTTTCAGACATTATTGTGACTTTGCTGCTAGATTCAAGAACCCAATAGTAGTTTGGTCACCATAGCTACTTCTGTCAGGGTCTGAAAAAACTACATCCCTGACCAGCATAGCTGTGCTGACCCAGCCCAACATAGATGCAGCTATGTTGGTGGGAGAATGCTTTTGTCAACATAGCTGCTGTTGTTTGCAGAGGTGGTATTTCTACATCAATGAAAAAACTTCTGCCATTGGTATAGGCTGTGTCTACATTACGGGATTATGCCATTATGGATAATGCCATTATTATACATTATAGATTATACCTGCACTGACATAGCTATGCCAGTATATTCTCCATAGACATACCCTCAGATGAATCAGATACCTTCTTCCTGTGTAATTACAGATTGCAATCAAGTAGTCTCTTAACCCTCTCTCTCTTTGATAAATTAAATAGATTGAGCTCCTTTCGTGCTCATTATAAGGCACATTTTCCAGACTATGAATCATTTTGATAGCTCTTCTTTCAATCGTCTCCAACTTTCAATATCTATTTGAATATGTGGACACCAGAACATAAGAACGGCCATACTGGGTCAGACCAAAGGTCCATCTAGCCCAGTATCCTGTCTTCCGACAGTGGCCAATACCAGGTGCTTCAGAGGGAATGAACAGAACAGGTAATCATGAAGTGATCCAGCCCCTGTTGCCCATTCCTAGCTTCTGGCAAACAGATGCTATGGACACCATCCCTGCCCATACTGGCTAATAGCCATTGATGGACCTATCCTCCATGAATTTATTTAGTTCTTTTTTGAACCCCGTTATAGTCTTGGCCTTCATTACATCCTCTGGCAAAGAGTTCCACAGATTGTTCCACAAATACTTCCTCTTGTTTTAAACCTGCTGCCTATTAATTTCATTTGGTGACCCCTAGTTCTTGTGTAATAAGAAGGAGTAAATAACACTTCCTATTTACTTTCTCCACACCAGTCATGATTTTATAGATCTCGATTGTATTCCCCCTTAATTTTCTCTTTTCCAAGCTGAAAACTCCAGTCTTCTAAATCTCTCCTCATATGGAAGCTGGTCCATACCCCTAATAATTTTTGATGCCCTTTTCTGTACCTTTTCCAATTCCAATCTATCTTTTTTGAGATGGGGTGACCAGATCTGCACGCATACATACTGTGGGCATACAATGGATTTATATAGAGGCAATATCATATTTTCTGTCTTATTATCTATTCCCTCCCAAATGATTCCCAACATTCTGTTCGCTTTTTTGACTGCTGCTGCCCATTGAGTGGATGTTTTCAGAAAACTATCTACAATGAATCCAAGATCTCTTTCTTGAGTGGTAACAGCTAATTTAGATCCCATCGTTTTATATGTATAGTTGGGATTATGTTTTCCAATGTGCATTACTTTGCATTTATCAACATTGAATTTCATCTGCCATTTTGTTGCCCAGTCACCCAGTTTTGTGAGTGTTCCAGTAATGTCTGCACAGTACTGTATAAGTAGGTAATACAGTCTCCCTATTCTTGCCCATTATTCCCTTGTTTATACATCCAAGGGTCATGCTAGCTCTTTTTGCTAGAGCATCACATGGGGAGCTCGTATTCAGCTGGTAATAAATAGAAGACTTCAATTTCCAGGATGTCAATTCTGTTACAAATGCTAAATTCATTTAAAAATAACGGACGCAAGATGATCTGAAATCAGGATACTGTATCTCTAATATATGCAGAGGCATGTCATATATGTTGAGGCGCTGCCATAAAGTACTGCAGGAAACTTTCAAATAAATCAGCTTTAACACAAATAATTTAATTTTCACTTGTTTTTCTTTTTGCTGTAATTCCTAATAATAATAATAATAATAAATAATATAATGTTAACACAACTTATATAGCACACATCTGTTTTATCAAATACATTTTTCTTCCTGTTGGCTCATTCAGTGAAATCATAATGCTGACATTTTGATGACACAATGATTTCCATGGTAGTAGATTCCTGCCACAAACACAGAATTCTGACTTCTGAAGGATTAAGCAGTACAAACTGGAATATGAGGACGAAAGCACCTGTTAAAGACCAAAATTTTGAAATAATTGCTTTCAATGTAAATAGTTTTTTTTCCACGTTTGTTCTGGTTTAAATCCAAGAGGACTATTAATAAAATTACCTTTTATTTTTGGCAGGCACAGTCACTGGCATCATCTTTGTCCACACGACAGCTATTACGAATTTGTCGTCGGCTATCACAGTATCCAGATGAAAGTCTCTACCATGCTGTCAATAAAGCCTGTCTTTCCAGGTAGCCATACTAATTTTACTGTGAAAGTTTAAGGCTCTGTGAAACAATTGCTAATATGCTAAAAAGATGGTTTAATTTTTTTAAAGGAGTTAGACATTAAAAGTAGAAGTGCTACTATTCCAATCCTCCCTAATCAAAGAATGTTAGATTTCACTTCTATGGAATTCCCAGATTTCAAACATCATTTGAAACAAATCATTCAGCACTTCTTTCTAATCTGTGTGTGTGTGGCATATGCTTAATGACTTAATAGAAATAGGTCTTCAGAACTAATGATTGTCAAAAGTGTGATGCAGTCTCAAAAAAGATAAAATATTACTCAGGGTTGTATTAATGAAATACAATGTGGTTAGGTGTCAGTTAAAGGTTTGTATTTAGTTTTAGGCATTGCATTTTTTAAAAAAAGTTGTAGACAACTTAGATTTTGCAAAGGAAGGCAACAGCAATTATGAAAAGTTCTGAAAATATGAGTGATGAAAGTCTAAGGGCCAAATTCTCCAAGGTACTGAGAATCGTCAGCTGTCAAAGCCCAGGGCCTGTATGATCTGGGATCAGTCACAGCTGAAGGATCTTGCTCCCATTAACTGTGGAAGGAACAAGGTCATCGTCCCCCCCAGCATCCTAACTCATTCGTCATTATAGCTTCTTCACTGGAATCCCACATAACAATGTAGTGCTTTAAAATGAGCATTTATATTAATAGGTTTCAGAGTAGCAGCCGTGTTAGTCTGTATCCGCAAAAAGAACAGGAGTACTTGTGGCACCTTAGAGACTAACAAATTTATTAGAGC